TATCACACTTTATCCGTAGAAAAATGCAGGAAATGACTTTTTTTAAATGCAGTATTTTCTGATTTATGGCGCAACACAAAGATATTTCGCTCTGTGCAAACCTTTGACTCTAATATGTCAACAACATGAAACAAGAATATGAACCTGGCTTTATCCAATGTTCACACAAGAGTTCTACATCCTGACACATCCTTCATCTACACTGTCTCAACTGAAAGAGGACCAGAAACACATTAAAAATATAATAACATGTGGAGACTGGGATATTTATCTCCCATTCTTTTACTTTTCGGGCATTTTACAGACCAAACATGTCGTTGATGTCACTGTTTACCAAACTACCACTTTTTCTGAAAATACCATAAACTATCATCTTATATTATTGTAAAGTGTGGGCTTACATGTCCATATCTGTCACTAAACTGTAGTTTTTATGTAACACAGAGCATCCAATACTTGTCAAAACAAATGAGCCGTGTAGGGTATACAAATACAGTGTATACAAATACAGTGTATAATTATGAAAAGACAAACCTACTTACTTAAATGAAGTGACCTGCTCTCAGTAAAGGAAGAAAGACGAAGGAGGATGAGTCTTCTCAACTCCGAATCTCCGCTTTTATCTTCTTCTTCCTCTTTTCCAACTACTTCTTCTCTTTGTCCTTCCTCTACGTTTTCTGCAGTGTTCGCTAAATCTTATATTCCGTTTACTCACTCAGACCTTTAAACAAAACCCGTGATAAACAAACTCTGTTGGCGTGTAAAGAAATCAAGTGAGACACTCCAATGGAACATAAACGAGAGCCACGTGACCTGGCGGTTGAGTCAGCTGACAGCGGAATTACAGGAAGTTGGAGGGGCCGCGTTCGCGTTCTCTTTATACACCCATGCCCATGGGCCGCGTTCCATTTTATATTTGTATTTTACCTGCGTCTACAAAATATACATTTACGTCTGTTATGTGGTCTTAAAAAAATAAATTATAGTACCACTTTTTGTAAAGGCAAGGCAAGGCAAGTTTATTTATATAGCACCTTTCAACACAAGGCCATTCAAAGTGCTTTACAAAAAATGAAAGACATTAAGAAAATGGCATTTAAAAACAGTCATTAAAAAGCAAAGATAATAAAATAAACATTAAAAGAAAAAATAACTGGATAAAAGTTACAGTGCAGTTTAAGATGTGAATAGTTCAATTAAAAGCAGCGGCAAAAAGAAAAGTATTCAGCCTGGATTTAAAAGTAGTCAGAGTTGCAGCGGACCGGCAGGTTTCTGGGAGTTTGTTCCAGATATTTGGAGCATAATAACTGAACGCTGCTTCTCCATGTTTAGTTCTTACTCTGGGGACAGAAAGCTGACCAGTCCCTGAAGACCTGAGAGTTCTGGATGGTTAATAATTTAGCAGCAGGTCAGAAATGTATTTTGGGCCTAAACCATTCAAAGCTTTATAAACCAGCAGCAATATTTTTTAAATCAACTCTTTGACACACAGGAAGCCGGTGTAAATACTTCAGAACAGGAGTGATGTGATCCACTTTCTTAGTGTTAGTGAGGACTCGAGCAGCAGCGTTCTGAATTTGCTGCAGCTTTCTAATAGATTTTTTAGTGAGACCTGTGAAGACCATTACAGTAGTCCAGTCTACTGAAGATAAAAGCATGGACAAGTTTTTCCAAATCCTGCTGTGACATTAGTCTTTTAATCCTCGATATATTCTTAAGGTGATAGTAGGCTGATTTAGTAATTGTTTTAATGTGACTGTTGAAACTCAGGTCAGAGTCCATGACTACACCATGATTTCTGGCTTTATCTGTTGTTTTGAACATTGCAGACTGAAGCTCAGCGCTAACTTTTATACGTTCTGCCTTGGCTCCAAAAACCATTACCTCAGTTTTATCTTTGTTTAATTAAAGAAAGTTCTGACACATCCAGTCATTGATTTGTTCAATGCACTTACTCAGTGTTTGAATTGGAGCATAGTCTCCTGGTGAAATGGTTACGTACATTTGTGGTAACTTATTTTGTTGTTTTTCATTATCTGAGCCAGTAGTAGCATGTAGATGTTAAAGAGAAGAGGCCCCCAAGATGGAGCCTTGAGGTACCCCACATATTTGTCAACTCAGATGTGTATTTACCTATAGAAACAAAGTTTTTTCTGTCCTTTAAGTAGGATTCAAACCAATTTAGAACTGTCCCACCCAGTTTTCTAGTCGGTCTAGTAATATGTTGTGGTCAACAGTGTCAAATGCAGCACTGAGATCTAATAATACTAACACTGAAGTTCTGCCACTGTCTGTGTTTAAGTGGATGTCATTGAAGACCTTTACAAGAGCAGTCTCAGTGCTGTGGTTTGGTCGAAAGCCTGATTGGAACACATCGAAACAGTTATTTAAATGCAAGAAGTTACTCCACTGTTGAAAAACAACTTTTTCAATGATTTTACCTAGAAGTGGCAGGTTTGATATGGGCCTGTAGTTGTTCATTACTGAAGCATCTAGATTATTCTTTTTTAAGAGCGGTTTAATGACTGCAGTTTTCAGGGCCTGTGGAAAAACACCTTCGGTAAAGGACATGCTGCCAACCCTGCATATCGCCTTAATTTGGTAATTGAACTCCAGGAAGGACTTGGTGCCAACCCTCTGTATCTCCTTCATGTGTTCAACGATCTCCAGGAGGGTGGCCGAGGGTGAAAGGGTGAACGGAGAGTAGAGAGAGCTGTGGGGTGAAGGAAGAGTATCCTCAGAGGTGATAGGGGGGGTGAAGGGCGGTGGAGACTCCTCCATTTGTCTCCCATAATCAAGACATTCCTCAGGCGGGTGCAGTGATACTTTTTCAAGGTTTTCTGAGCGATGTGTTGTTTTGATTCCTCTTGTTGCTTGTCCTTGGCAGAGCGAACAGATTGATGATGCAGGCAGTTGAATATGTTAGAGATAAACAATTTCACTCCTGATTTGTTCAGGCAAACTCCATTTGCCTTAAAAAGATGTCTGCGGTCCCAGAAAAAGTTAAAGTTGTCAATAACATTGACAGAATGGTCAGTACAGGCAGTTGAAAGCCAGGTGTTCAGTGCAAACAATCTGCTGAATCTCTCCACTCCTCTTCTGACTGGCGGTAGAGGGCCACTGATGAACACCTCTGCATTTAGAGAGCTGACAGTTTCCAACAAACATTTAAAGTCTTCTTTCAGCACTTCTGACTGTTGTTTCACAACATCATTTGTTCCAATATGCAGTACCACGTTTTTCACAGTGGGATGTTTAGCCCCAATATGCAGGATCTTCTCAGCCAAGTCAGAGACCATATCCTTGGGAAAACAGAGTACTTTGGTGTTGTTCTTACTACACAGACTTTTTACATCTCTTACAGCAGAGTCACCCACAATCAGAGTTTCAGGCCCAGTCGTTAGCTTTCCCTCTAGCCTTTTACTTTTGGAGTAGCTATTGGTCCTTACCCTGCTGTGTGAAGAGGACAGGTTATCCAGGTCATCAGAAAGAGATCTCCGGTTCTGGGTCAGCAGAGCGTATCTGTTCTGGATTGGCACACTCAGTGGTTTAGGAGGATGGTTTGTAGTTCTCCCTTTAGCAGCTGTCCACGGCTGTTTCCTAGTATGAATAGGGGTTGAAGAGGCGCTTTTCCTGGGTGATAACAATGCAGCCAGCCGGTCGCATCACAGATTTCAGAGCGCTGGGCTCTGCCTGTTGTTCGTCCTCCCAAATCCCATGGAAATGATTTACACTAAAGACACTATTAATAAAGGGATTATAAAAAATATGATTTTATTAATGATTACTAAAGCTTTATTGTTCAATTAAAGCCTAAACCAATAAGGAAAAGTGTTCATTCAGTGGAAAATCCACCTCTAGCATGATATTATAAACTTTTTTTAACAGTAATTTACCCCATTGTATTTTTTGGATTTGCATTCAAATGCCTATTTAGGGAAATAAATACATTTGTATGAAATCTTAGTCTGAATGTGATAACTCTTACAAGATGAACTGAAACTGGGTTATAAAAAAAAAAACTGTCTGCGATGCAAAAATGAGTTGCTGACAGGGCAGTATGTATTTTTTACATGTTTATGTGATCAGTATGCATCCTACAAACTAGGATTGTTCAGCGTTACAGGGATTTTATTGCCGTTTTTTGGGTCAAGGGCCCTCCGTTTAAACAAGCATATGTAGAGTGCTAACTTTGCACGTAATCACCAATGAGAGTCATATTTCATCTATGCTTTGATAAAAAGAGAGTATAAAATGCTAAATGTACATGAGCTCACGTCAGGTAAACTTGTAATCTTAGTTGTCAATTGTTGTCCTTGCACAAAGGTGTGCAGACTGATGCCTTCCAGACAGAGGGTGAATACATGTATTTTCAGGCAGACGGTATCTGAAAAAAAAAAAGGTCAGCATTAAAGCCTGTTGACCGGCTCTAGTAGAAACCAGAAATTCAAGTATGTACCTGACTACCTGTATACTGTATAAACACAATATCGCGTTTAAGTGAGAGAGTATTAACAGCCGAATGTATCAAAAGTATCACAAGTAAAAGTTTGTTCTGCAGTAAAATGTCATATTGTTTTATGGCACATGCTTATAAATGCTGGTTCATCAATGTGTTACTGGCATTTTACTGTAGTAAATTATTTCTATATTTGGTTTTCCATTTGATTAGAGAGGAATTCCAACATAGCAGACTCCAGCAGGAGGTGCACTGAGACTGGAAAAAACAAGTATTTTTAACCATTACAAATGTTTTAACATGTTTTATAACATCCCCTGACTTCACTCTTTATCTCTTAACTATATATAAAAAAAGAAAACAGAAATCATGCATTGCAACATGTTTCCTGGTTTGTATTGTGCTTGTGAATAAGTGAGATTTTAACTGGTTAAGCCTCAATTAAACCTGCAAAAATAAAACAATTGTTTAGAACACAAATGCATATTGTGTTGAAAAAAAACAACAGTTTATTACTGCATTTATTTAGAATATGTTTACAGACTGTACTAACAGGAACAGCTGACCGTTTAAAAACATTTTTATATGAAGTATAACTTTACTGAATGTCAACCATTCACTTATCTTTATTATGGTTGTTTCTGCCCTCTGTGGGTGAAAAGTGGCATCAGACAGGAAAAGGTGGAGCCTGTGTTCTGTGCCTGAGCTTCATGCAGAGGCAGCCTCAAGAAGCCATGGCAGAAACAAGCCTTGGTAAGACTATTTAAGAGATACACTTAAAACAATATAGCTAAACTTGAGATAAATAACAGTGTATCAGATATTCAGTCAGCTGCTCTCATTAGCTGGACAGATGACTCAGAGTTCATATCTGCAGCCATGTGACAGTGTTGCTGTTGTTGTAGCCTACTATAATGAAGCAGACTACAGACAACTATTTATTGCAGATAATTAACTGCACTGACACAAGGGTGCAGGTAATGAAATGGTCTGTTTGAAATGTTTGTTGTTCTTTCGTAGTTCAGAAAGTCTTCCTGGTTTTAAGTGTCAGCGTGGAGCCATTTCAGTGGTTTCACTTTCGTCTTAAAGTGACAGGAGACATTTTTCGAGTTGAGAAAATGCAAGTATTCAGATCCTCTACTACTTAGTACTGACTAGTAAATCTACCGCAATATAAAATAATTTAATTTCAAGTAAAACTCCTGCATTTAATAGTTAGTTAATAAAAGTAATGTATTATGTTAATAATATACATAGAGTAAACATACTCCTAATTTAGAATGGCAAATGTGTACTGTATTGCTATTGGATTATTGCAGATGCTTTAAAAACATAGGACATTCGGCAAGACATCATGTTTTACAATTTGATCTTAATTTTGTATTGATAAATAAAAGTAACTATACGAGCTGTCGGAAAAGGGTTTGGAAAAAGTGCAATATTTACATTCAAAATTAATGAATGTTATTTGATGATATGATAATTGTTCAAACTAAAGATTGATTAATAGATTTTTTTTTAAAAGAAGAAAAATCTAAAAATACTGGAAATTGTGCTCAAAAAACTCTGAAACCTATATTTTCCATAATGCAGTTCCACTAAACTGAACTTCATGTGTACAATTGTTGTTGGCATTGAAGTAAATACTTAGTTAATTTCAACCTTGTAAACAAATTGTTATACAGTATATCATATATTTGTTTCTTTTCCTCTCCTAGGTGCTTTTGGTGCAGTGCAGACGATCCTACAAAGTGCAGCAGCAGGATTTGCTTTTGGAGAAGCTGCATTATTCGCAGTAGAGCCCTCACTGACTGAAGATGGCGTCCTGCTGTCTGCTGCAACTCTGGCTGCTGGACGAGCCGGATCCACCGGGGTCGGCGTGGTGACAGCGTGCCTCGTGTTCACCTCACTGCTCATTTCTCTGGGAAGTGGTTTCCTCCTTGCTGCCATGGTGATGAAGCTGTTGAATAAAGTTGGAGCGAGGTTGCCTTGGTTAGAGGAGGCCACAATGGGAGCCTCTGTTGTGCTTGGTGCTGTCACTACTGGAGTGTTAGCAGGCATCCTTCCTCCATGGATCTGCATCGCCACCCAAGGCATTCTGGTCCTTGTAGTCTACTCATACTCCAATATCAACGACATGACCACAGCTCTGTTGATCATCTTCACCACACTCTACCTCAGTGTCCTGTACGGAAGAATGGGAGTCATGGTTGGACTCTTCATCATGGGATTGACCATCTCCGTGCTTTGTGCCCTTCGAAAGGCTCTGACGGAGAGAATGACCCAAAAACCAAAATCTAAAAGCAGGTGCAAACTCCTGGAGAGGATATTCTTCTATTCTGTTTTTGTGGGTATACTGGGATTTTCGGTTGGTTTAGGGGCAGGTGGAGCAGGAGAAGGGTCTGAAGCGGAGGTGGTTTTGATGCTGCAGTCGGTCCTCTGGGTTGCGTATCTGTCTGCAGGCCTGCTCGGAGCTGGTCTGGGAACAGTGGCCACGGCTGGGCTGGGGCCAGAGGTGGCTGGAAAGGTCGCTTTGGGAGCTGCCATAATATCATCTGTTTCTCTTAGAGCCATACTGCATTTAAGTTCTTCTCTAGGGTCCCGGAGCAGCATGGGGGGAACATTAGGAGCGGCTACAGCTGCAGGGGTGTCGCTTGGAGCTGCAAGCGTTGCAGCAAAACACGCATTTGGGTCTAGAAACACAACGTTAGCAGCTCTAGGGTCAGTCGTTGTTGGTGCACTTCTATCAACGCTCAGCCTAGCAGTGAATTCGACACCCCTAACAATATCAGAACTTTTACAAATCACCCTAGTTGCAGTAGGGGCGTTTGTCCTGGGTGCACCAAAGAGCCCGTTCAACACTCAGGTGAATCTACAAAGAGGCCTTCTCACGGGGCCAGAGCTAATTAAAGGAATCGGCATGGAGACGGTCACCGCAGCAGCAGCACCTATCGGAGCCGGGGCACTGGGGGCTGCAGCGCTGGCTACCGCAGCTCTAGGGAGGCTGGGGACTCTGGGAGTTTCTGTGGCTATACTATTGGCTTTGGGAAGTGCCCTCAGTGGCATGATAGGCAAATCACCGCAGACAACCAACACACACACAGACTGATAGAAGCGCTCAGATCTGTGGCCAAACACTAAGAGTGCATGTGTGTGCATATGCATGTTCTTGCATTATTGCATATTCAAACTGACGTAAAATATGAATACCAAATTAAATGTGAGCTTATTTGAATCAAATACTCTTTTAAATGAAAAGCAAATTCGCATACCTGACAATTGTGTCATAAAGATGTATAATTGAGTGTTAAAAAAAAAATAAGAATACATTTTATCCAAGCATGTGTTTGTGTATTTATTTGAATATAGAAATCTTGGAAGATTGTGTCTACACTTGAGTGTTAATGAAAATGTACAGAAAATGTAGATTTCAAAATACTTATTTGAGGTAGATATATGGTATGAGGTGTGTTGGCATACAGAACTTTTAATTTCAATTTAATTTTCTTTTCATGGAATGTACCTATTGGAATGCTAAATAACATTTTCGTATTCTTTCTTTTGAACATAATACCGTAAAAAGTAAATTGTCAGAGAAAAAACAAGTGTATTTGTTGGTGGTACTTAGAAAATTCATTTTTTCAAAGAGTGGATGTAATAATCCTTCTTCCTTACTTCTTCACACCAGCTTTGCCACACTTCCCAAGACATGATTGCAATCTGGTAGTCACTTTGGCTTCATCTTAGCAACAGTAACAGAGGACTTGGTGTTTAGAAAAAGGAGGGGGAGGGTGGGAGGAGAGAGAAACGAAGAATAACATCAGAATACTGAAGAGCATCTTGAAGTACAGTCTGTTGTGCAGATCGTACCGGAGTTAGGAGAAATATGGATCCGTACATCAGAATAAGATGCCCTTTTGCCTATATATACTTATAATGCCCTCTCTGAAAAGATTATATGTTGCTGGCAAATGGATATCCACCTGTGGCTCAGGGTTTTGTTGGTCTACCATGGCAGCACACAGGACTCCGGCAGCAAGGAAGAAGAAGTGTTTCCACTGAAGCAGCCTGGGGAGGAGCAGCATCTTCATAACTGTAATGTAAAGTACTTTAAAGGAAGTTATTGACACCATATAATTAAGAAGGTGAGCACGTTTTGATGCCTAAAACTCCCTGGGATGTTATGATTGTTAGCACTAAAATGCTTTTCATTACCATGGATTAATTTTTGCATAAAAAAAGTTGTGTTACTTTTCCATGGATTTTGGCATTGATCAACAGTATTACTTGAGGAACCATCAGGATAGTCTTTACTAAACCAACATGTCTTTGAACCGGATCCCCACGACAGACACAGAGCAGTCTGCAGAGTATTCGTTGCAGGGTCCCAGTGACACGGGTCACGGTGGGTCTCAGACCCGTGAAGTGACCGTGCTCCAGTCGAGATGCTGCCGCTGCCTGCCGCGCGCGGCGCGCCTTGCGTTTGCTCCAGAGTCACTGGAGAGAATTTACCAGAACTACTTCCGCAGACAGAGACAAGAAAACCTGCTCGTGCTGGCGTTGTTTGCCGCTCTTTTCAACAGCTTCATCATCATCATGTGCGCGGTGGTGTACACTCAGGACAAACTGGCCATGGTGGTGGTCGCCGCGGTGGGGCTGTCTGCGGACGCGGGGCTGTACGCGCTGTGCCGGCTGCAGAAGCTTCCCGCGTCACCGGTGGCGCGCGGAGCAGTGCCGTACATTCTGTGGCTGATGATAAACGTGCACGTTTTGTGTTACATGTGTCTGAACTATGAGCGTTTCCCCCAAGGAAGTGACTCTGTGGGCTGGCATGCCTTTTTCACTTTCTCCAGCTTTCTGACCCTTCCGCTGGACCTGGGGCCGCTGCTCCGTCTCACGGCCCTCTCCTCTGTGATACACACCCTGGTGCTGGGGGTGACTGTGGCTCAGAAGTCCGAGGATGACCTGCAGGGGCCCATGCTGGTTAGACAGGTAAATATGGTCCCCTGTAAAGTGATAAATGACAAAGCACCTGAAACCTAAAAAATGAAAAGAAGCCCAAAATGGTCATACAGGACAGTAGAAGGCACTGAAGATTCGATGCTTTCAGGGTATTGCATGATCCATAATTCATGGCCAAATTTGGCCCATTAACAATTTTTGTTTCACATTATAAAAAATAATTGTAAACACAATGGTAATTTATTCAAGTTTTTTTATGCAAATAATGTCATTTTGCAAAAGTTCCAAGTTGAGTATTCTTGATGCACCGGTGGAGATTTACTTGCACTATAGCCAGAATAGTCTCAATGGTATATATTTGAAAATTATATATTTCTGTAAAGAATTTACACTGACTATATTTACATTTATTTCAATTTTCAGCTATATTTTATTCTCGGATAAAAATAGGCCTACATTGCAGAAAATTGTCTTTCTTCACTGAAACAGTTCAATACTACATCTGTTAGAAGCAAGAAATACATGAATCCAGCTGATTATTCTTAAAACTAAGTGATTCCCATATTCAATTCAATATACTGTATGAGAACTACAAACAACAATACACATTGACAGAATGAGGAAACTTACTATCAGTAAACAAACAAACATCCTGTCTTCAGCTCCTAGCCAACATGATGCTGTACCTGTGCTCAGCCACGGTGGGTGTGTTGTCGTACTACATGGCGGACAGGAAGTACAGGACAGCATTTTTGGAGGCCCGTCAGTCACTACAGGTCAAAGTCACACTGGAGGAGGAGAGCACCCAGCAGGTAAACGTGGCACACACAAATACACAATTACAGGTAGACTTTGCCTAATGAGATAATCCATTTCCTAATTTGGGGCTGACACACACATTCACATTATACACAAACACACCGGTGAGGAAGGGCACGCTGTTCTGCCTAATTATAATGTGTTGTGCTGAGCTCGAGGATAAATGGGTGATTAGACAGACTTGTTTTCACCAGCGCAGCCACCGCGAGGGACCGAGCACAATATGGACGGATTAAGCTCTGTGCCAACAAAACCTAAATTGTTGAAGGATACACTTAGATTTAGGAATTTGTTTTGTATTTTAATAGCTCTTCCTTTCCCCTTATGTGAACTTATCTATGTCTATCAGTTTTTCTTTCTCTATGGTTCCTTTTGCAGCTGCCAGCTTTCTCCATAATGGTTTGATTTTGGTCCAATTGTTTATAAATTATCTAGTATTTAGGCTTTAATTTGTCTTTCAGAAATGAGGGGTTGGAATGTAAAGGGAATGTATAAAAGATTAAAGACATGGTAAAAGAAGCAATTCTACTGTGTATAAATAATATGTTCAGTAAAATTCATGCATTCAAAATGTAACGTAAGTAAAAGTGCAAAGGTTAAGCATCAAAATGAACTTAAAGTACCATAGGAAGTGTACCTATGTTGCACAAAGGCTCATTTGCAGTTATATTTATTATAATTATTGAAGCATTAAAGCGTTCATCCCTTTATTGTTGAAGGTATTTAACTTGGAACTTGTTTTCTTTACTTTAAATACTGCCAGATAGCTTATGAATTTCACCAAGGGATTAATAAAGTTTATCTTAACCTATAATAACACATTAAAATGATTTTATGATTATATTTTGAATTATTAATCTGAATCTGAATCCTCAAAGTTGTCCTAAGAAATGAACTAGAGTATACATACTTTTTACTTTTTCTGTGCAATCACGTTCTCAATAAACTCACAATGATACAGTATTCCTAATACATTAGTTTGATTTATTATAGCCAAATATACTATACCATGTTTTTACTCCAACCTTAATCTAATTCATTAAATTACTTTACTTTAATCACATCTCACATTTCTTGCTGTGATGTGACAATTTCTGGGAATAAGAGAGCAAGGTAAGGGTACGAGAGTTGTTCTAAGAGTAGGGTTGAAAAGATGAGGAATAATGGTATAGTAACAGTATGTGGAAGACAAAAAGAGAATGAATAACATTCCCCAAGTGTCTTTTCATTTGGGGCTTAATAGAAGACAGACAGACCCAACCAAGAGGAACACATTGGCAGGATCTCGTGAGAATCCCTTCTCTACCTCAGTCATGCTATGCACACAAATGCAAAAACATACACATGGGACAATCTTTGTGTCAGTACTGAACCTGACAAGGCTCACTGTTCATCCTGTGTTGTCTCCATATAGGAGGAACTATTACTGTCCATCCTGCCCAAACACATTGCAGACGAGATGCTGCAGGGCATGAAGAACCAGGCCAGTGAGCTCGGGGGCCAGCAGCAGCAGCAATTCAACACCATGTACATGTACCGCCATGAAAACGTCAGGTTGGGACCACACATTTTGTTGCAGTGTATTGATGGTATTTGTTACGGGAAGGTTTCTGAATGTTACACCTCTTCCCTCGTCTTCCAGTATCCTGTTTGCTGACATAGTTGGCTTCACCCAGCTGTCCTCCACCTGCAGCGCCCAGGAGCTCGTGAAGCTGCTCAATGAACTGTTCGCCCTCTTCGACCAACTGGCAGAAGTGAGTCAGGTTTACTGTATTCTCTCCTTTTTTCTTTCCTAGATTTGACAATATATTGTTTGGTATGAAGTACTGGTTATGTTTTATATAGCTGATATATCCTTTTTTATGGTTTTAAAGATATAATTATATTTTTTCTTGATTTTATCTGTTATTATGACACAAGGAGGGAATAGACATGTGCACACACATAATAACAATACCACTAATTAAAACAAAATTAAACCTAGAAGAAAGGCAAGGCAAGTTTATTTATATAGCACCTTTCAACACAAGGCAATTCAAAGTGCTTTACAAAAATCAAAGACATTAAGAGCATTAAGAAACATATTATAAAATGGCATTTAAAAACACTCATTTAAAAGCAAAGTAAATAAAACATGAATAACAAAGGTACATGAATAAAAGTTACAGTGCAGTGTGAGATACACACATCTGAAATATTCAGGTCTTACTCTCAATCATTGCTAACTTTTTAGCAGAAATAGTTTTCTTTGAGCTCACTTTCCTTCTACTTTCTTTTTCAACTTATCCTTTAATTATCTCAAGTGTTTCATGCTAAATGAACCCCCCTTTGGAAAATTTGAATCTGCAACCCAATATTCCGAAAATTCAACGGATCCTGGCCATATTTGTGTAGCATATACAATTAATACAATTAATTTTCTCCCAGACATTCATGTAGCGTGTTAGTTTTGGACCCGATCTGTAGTCAAAAAGTCACCACTTAAGGTCCTTTCAGTATTTCTACTAATCACTTAAGCATACAATAGTGACTTTTGACTTTCTGTTTGATAGGACCGTCGAAAGAAGCAGAACATAACATATGTATATTCTTTGATTTGTAGATATTGACAATGTTTTTCTGTTTGCTACACTTACACGTATTTTAAGTATGCACCATTCTTTCTCCTCGTGCTGTCTTGCAGGACCATCACCAACTGAGGATTAAGATCCTTGGAGACTGTTACTATTGCATCTGTGGTCTTCCTGATTTCAGAGAGGACCACGCTGCCTGCTCCATAAATATGGGCCTCGCCATGGTGGACGCAATATCGTAAGTAGTGATCATTCATTGGCAAAAAATGGAAAAGGAAGGGGTAGTATTAATGTAGAGTTTGTATTATGGTGGTTTTATTTGTACATATTGTGTATATATGTTTTTGTTTTGTTTCTTTCAGTTAAAGGTGGGGTAGGTAATTTTGGAGAAACCAGCTCGAGTGCGCTAGAATTTGAAAATACACAGCCGGAAAAAATCTGCCCCTTCCTTACAGAGCCCCTCCTCCAACACACACGAACGCGCACATGACCAATGAGGGCACGAGATAAGTTTGTGCACAGATGGAAGGCTGACAGGCAGGTAGGCCATCCAGTTATTTTAGCCGGGCCGGCTAAAATGATTGGTCGTGCTTTTTACAGTACCACGGCTTCCACAGATGACTTTTTTTTATGGATTTTTTGTCAAAGCACTTAAGATATTCATTGCTATCAGGATGTTAAGAGCATTCCATGGAATATAACAAAAAGTGTATCTCGAGCCGGTTTCTCAAATTTACCTACCCCACCTTTAACTGTCAAGTGGGAACTAAGTATTTTTTTGTAAGTTTTTGTGTTTCTCTTATTTTCCTACGATACTGTTATGATTGGCTGTGAATAAGAAAATATGAAGGACAGACCATCTATTTCTATTTATTATTTTAAATAGAGGTAATATAAGATAATTTTCTTCTCCCTGCTCCTTTTCGGTATGCTGTGTTTATAGAAACATGTTTTGTAAATAATTGTTATACATTAAGTTGTGCATACCATGAACGGAACAAATAAAAATGAAATGAAATATATGACAAAAGGCAATCTCAATAATTAAAGATATGAATGAGTAAAGGAAGAAATTAGATGAGGGATATTTTGCCACTCAACACAGAATCCCCAAAGTAGGAGAGAAAAGAGAAAAAGAAACAATGCCAATTAATCTTAGACTTCTATCAATAATATGGGATAAAACATGAAAAATAGACATGAAAGACAATACAGACGAAGAAGAGTGGGCTATTTGTGACATAATGACTTCAAAGATAACTACAGAGATCTCCCACTTTCCCCTCCTTTCTTAGGTACGTACGAGAGAAGACTAAAACTGAAGTGGACATGCGTGTGGGCGTCCACACAGGCACCGTGCTGGGGGGGGTGCTGGGGCAGAAGAAGTGGCAGTTTGACGTTTGGTCCACAGACGTAACTGTAGCCAATAAGATGGAATCTGGGGGGATTCCTGGGTAAGAGAACAATGCTTTATTTCACTGTCAGCGGGAGTGATTAAATTCTTCGTTGTGGTTTATTTCAAGAGTTTTGTGTGCTCCACAGGAGAGTGCACATTTCCCAGACAACCAAGGACTGTCTGCTCGGAGGTTTTGACCTGGAGCCGGGGGAGGGCGGGGAGAGGTGCGAGTACCTGATGGAGAAAGGCATCGAAACTTACCTGGTGCTGGTGCCTACACAGGCGGCCAATGGGCTCAATGCAAATGTGAGTCAGCGAACTGTCTTTCAGGGCATTGTCATTGTTTGTTTGATCATGACCTATGTTTAGCTTGAATCAAAAACAAAGTATTTCTTTTCTTTTTTTGGAGAAATATCCATTTTTTATGCACACATAATAGCATTAACAGATATTGTTCTGCTTCTCCTCCTCAGAAACCTGGGATGTTGTCCAACACAAATTCAAACCAGTTGATCAACACTACAGTAACCAATGGGAATGCCACCTCACCCCAATTAACGGCCGCTGACTCTATACAGGAGGTGAACTATGATAAATGTTTTTATTCATTATATATAAACCAAAGTCCTCCTATGAGTACAGATGGCCAAAGGGTTTACTTTAGAATCAGAATCGATTTTATTACCAAGTTGGTTAACACATACGACGAATTTGCTTTGGTATATGTGGTGCATACAAAGACACAGAAAGAAGAATACGTAAAAAAAAAAAAAAAGCTATTTTAAAAAACAATTTTAAGACTATTATAACAAATGAACAATATTTACATATGACAAATACTATATACTGTATTTAAAGTGGAGAGCTGTGCTAATTTGAAAGAGGTATTATAACTTGCTAATAACTACTTGATTGTAAGCGCTTTGAGCACCAGGAAAAGCGCTATATAAATATAATGTATTATTATTATTATTATTATTATTATTATTATAACCCATACATACAAATACACACGTTATCCTAAATAGCATTAAATGCACCATAAAAAATTGGTAATCTAACCCATGTCTCATTTTCTTGCTCCGAAACTCAGAAGAATAAGATGGCCGAAGAACAAGAGATCAACAAACGACTACAGCAGGAGCTGCTGGAGAGAGAAACCCAGCAAATGTAAGAACATTTGACAAATAAAATAAGATGACAAAATAAAGACTGTTAAAGTAGCTGAGACCAACAAAAAAATGTCATAGAAATGTATTGTTTTTTCAACTAATGTGTACAATTGGTCCTCAATCGTTGTACAACACAACTCACAGGCCTTTTGTTTGTCCCAACTCCAGCCATTTCTAACGTTTTTTTTCTTATATTACCACATCTGCTTACAGAATGAAGGATCACAATATCAACCCTGTGTTGTTGCGTTTCGTGGATGGAAAGTTGGAGGAGCAGTACTCCTCAGAGAAGGAAAAGCGGAGCGGGGCGGCCTTCTGCTGCTGCATCATTGTGCTCTTCTTCATCACAGCAATGGAGGTGTTCATAGACCCACTGTGAGCTCAATGTGTCTTATTACCTGCAATTAGTACACACTGAAATGCCTGGAGAGTTTAAAATGCTACTTGGGCTTCTGTGAATTCAAACAGGAACCAATTGTGCCTTAAAAATTGTGATGTTCTGCCTAAAAATGTACTAATTCTGTGTTTTCTTGTTCTAGGTTGGCTGTGAACTATGTGACTCTCACGATAGGAGAGGTATTGTTGCTCATCCTCACAGTTTGCTCCCTGGCTGCCATCTTCCCCAGGGTGAGAAAACAAAACTAGTATCCATGGTTGCAGTGAAACACAATTTGTTTTACGTCTTTGATCAGCACTTTCCAACCTTTTAGCATTTCCAAATGTACACGATCACAAAGGCAATTGACTTTAAAATGTACTTTGTGACACAAGACTGATTCACTGATCTTGTAAAGTATATTGAAACATCACATGAAGTAAAACATATCTTTTTGTCACAGATGTTCTCCAAGAGGTTGGTGTCTTTCTCGGTGTGGATCGATCGCACACGCTGGGCCAGAAACACCTGGGCCATGGCGGCCATTTTTGTTCTTACCATGGCTGTGATTGCTGACATGGTATGAATGAAAGACACTTTTACTCAACTCTGACACATTGTGTTAATATATGTGTGGCTAAGGTTTTTCTCACTGTATATGTAGTTTTATGAAAAAATGACTGAATACATTGTACTAATGTGATAAACATTGCTAATCCAGTGAATGGAATACCTGAAAATATTAAGCTACTTTATCATATAAATCAAAAAATATTTAATGCCACTGTCATGGTACATATCATCATATCTCCCTACCCTAGCGTGTGGGCGTCTTTTAGCTGGTTTGTTTCCACTTTGTCCTCATCAAACCATCAGTGCCTTTTATGTGTCTGACTACATGTTCCCAGTGGGGTCCATTAGCTGTCTGTCTCACTGCCTGCTGGCTCATTTGTCACTGCCCCCAGGGAGCAGCCTGTTACACACAACGCTGCCTTCAAGGTCTGACAGGAATAGGGGACGCTAAAGTGAACATTCATTTCTGTGTATTAGCTGTCATGCGGAAGTCACAAAAAAGTAATATTGTTCCTGTCGTTGCAGTTGTTATGAGGTTTTTTTGACGTACAGTATATTTAATGTATAAAATTACCAATTGGACACGTCTGTATACATTGTGCCCACAGAAAATATACTATGAATATATTATTTATTTTTTAGACACCTTATGTCCTAGATATTAACCAATTGTGCTCACAATTTTAAAATGTCCTTCATTGTGGAATAGATATTTTCTAAATTGGTCTAACTGAAAGTAAGTTTTTCTTTTGAACCCTGATTTAGTTTTTCTGCTGTTTCATCTATATATTTCAGTAAATGTCAGTATGTCAAAAGCTTCAAAGAGAATAATGAAATATTCTCTACCTATTTGCACACATATGCAGTGCAAACTTTAAACCAATCAAAACAAATGTTGGAAATCATACTAAATATGGATTTGGTGACAAAAAGGGCTAATAACATGTGTGAACTGACAATGTCTCATGCCCTTCATCTCTGATATTGCAGCTGAGCTGTGTACCTCCGTCCCTTCAAATCTTCAACAGCACTTCGGGCCCCGTGTTGGAGTCACTTGGGGGCAGAGGCTGTGCACAGAACCCAAAGCACTACAGCTTCATGGCTGTGATGTCACTCATCGCCACCACCATGCTGGTTCAGGTCAGCCACCTGATTAAACTGGGTCTCATGGTGCTGGTCGTCACAGCAACAGGAGCCGTTAATATCTACAGCTGGAGGGACATTTTCGACCTGTATGACTATATACAGTTTGCCTCGTACAGGTGAGAAATTGTTCAAACAGATAAATGAACAGTGTACAATTTTGTAATTTTGATGAAAATACACAGATAAAGGTGATTCATTAACTTTTACATTTTTCAGAATTGCTTGTTGACTTCTATGAGTTACCTGTGGTGTTTGGATAATTTGTATGGAATGTTATAATACATATCTTTAAAGGCTGTTTAAAATGGTCTCATACCTTTGAGCTTACATCTCCACTTCAGTAGCAGTTCCAGTTTAATTCCTATCTGTATTCTGGAGGATACAGAAGGGTTTGTTCATATATCCCCGAAAACTTTATTTATATAATATGTATTCCTAAAAGCATTACTGAAATAGATTTTTTTTTTTTTTAAAGCTGCTGATAGTACTTTCTGATTTATGTAAGCATACAAAGAGATTTGCTAAATCCCCTCTATAAAAACCTTTGAATATTTAAAGCAAAAGATTTTGGACCCGACTTTATCCAATGTTTGGATTTTCTGTCCTGGAACTATAAGCCAATTAGAACATATTTTATAATTGTATTTAAATATGTTATTTAAAATAATGCCGAATATGCATATTTGAACCTAAACTTTCAGTACTCTTCTAATAATAAAAAAAAAAGCTCCTTAAGTAAGTTTCAACATGAGCAGTTTAAAGGTAAAATCTATTTGTAAAAATGTTCAACCTATTCACCCGCAATCTGTGCCTTAAAAAAGCTATAAGATAAATATTCTGCCATCTGTAGTTGTTTTGTTGGCTATATAATACAGTTGTAGTTCCAGTATACAATATTCTGCCTCCATCTTGTTTCCAGAACATCCATAGTGCCATCCAAGTACCTCATGACCATGATGATCATTGTGATGATGATTGGCTTCTACTTCTTTGCCCGGCATGTGAGTCACTATCTCCAGTACACCCACTCTGTATCACACTTTTGACCCACAGCCATATAGTGTAATGTGTGATGTAATGTTTTCATCCAAATAACTTGCTATTTCATCTTGAAATATATAATGATTCTGTGGTATGTGTGTGTGTGTGTGTGTGTGTAGTTGGAGTATCAGTCCAGGAAGCTGTTTCTGTGGAAGGTTGGCGTGCATGACCAGAAGGAGAGGGTGTTTGAGATGAGACGCTGGAACGAAGCGCTGGTCACCAACATGCTGCCGGAGCATGTGGCCAAACACTTCCTGGGCACTAAGAAAAGAGACGAGGTACATATGATATGAACGAGCGAGGGCCAAGTTGTAGTATGACATATATATATATATATATCGATGTTTAGGGGGAGTGAGAGAGAGAAAAAGGACATAAGTGAGGAAAGTCAGAAAGGAGTAAAAATCATCAGGGTGCAACACAAATAACTGCCCTGAAGCCACTTATTGTAGTTATAGTGTATATTATACTTATTTCAATGCTATTTAATGCACATGAGTGCCATCTTGTGGAATATTTCAAAACTACATATTAGGGCTTTCAGAATCAGAATCTGAATACCTTTATTCGTCCCACAGAGGGGAAATTTACATTTGTTACAGCAGAAAAGAGCTAAACACAGCTTAATGTTAACTAAGATGCATGCATACAAAAAAATATTAAAGATACCAAAATAAATAAAAATTACACAATTTACAAAATACACATCCTCATGTTTATCTAATAGAGAGGCGAAGTCCCGCCCATCTACTTCCGACCCATGGGACCTTATTTCGGAAAGATTATGTATTGAAGTCAATGGAGAGAGAAACATTATCTTTCGACCCCGTTTGAATTGTGCAACGAATTACACATATGATGTTTGTCAATCTTAAAAAATAATTTCCATGTCAAAAACGTCACAGTTTGTCGTAAAACTCTTGAAATATAAGACTATGAAAAATACGCAACTAGAAAGACTACAAATCCCAGAATCCCGGTCCCGCATGCTGGCTCTTACGGAACCGACTAACTCCCCTTGTGTGTATGTACAGCTCTCAACATGCCCAGACTTTTAGCGATTTTCACCTCTTTTAATACTTTTCGCCTCATTCTGAAAGAAAGAAGTGAAATGTGCCAACGTGACGGCCGTCTTGGTGTGTGGTGCGAGACGGGAGATGTAGTTCATTGAGCGGTTTCACACAAAAAAAGTGTTACTTCACAGTTTTACGACACATTTTAATTTTTTTGACTTGCAAAATTATCTTTTAAATTGACAAACATCATATGTGTAATTTGTGGCACAATTCAAACGGGATCGAAAGATAATCTTTCTCTCTCCATTGACTTCAATACATACTTTTTTCGAAATAAGGTCCCATGGAGGTCCCCCGGAAAGGGAGGGACTTCGCCTCTCTATAATCAATGATAATAAAAACCGTATTGAAGAAGAAAATAAGCAATATAAAATCAGACACACTAATTCCATGTCATTTGTCATTTGTAGGAACTGTACAGCCAGTCCTACAATGAAGTAGGTGTGATGTTCGCTTCCATCCCCAACTTTTCTGATTTCTACACTGAAGAGGGCATCAACAACGGCGGCATCGAGTGTCTAAGGATTCTCAATGAAATAATCTCAGACTTTGATAGTGTACGTTTTTGTACAGCTGGTTGTAAAAAATGAGAACAATTGGTACATCTCTAAGGTTTTAAATGCCTACAGTCCATTTGATTAACTGTGTTTGAATGTTACTATGTATTTATTGTATGTCCGCTTCCTTCACCAGTTACTGGATAGAGAAGAGTTCCGCTTCATCACTAAAATCAAGACAATAGGAAGCACCTACATGGCAGCATCAGGACTCACTCCAGAGAGCAACACCAACGACTACAGCAAGCGCAAGGTCTGCACATAGTAGTATGTAATAAAGTCACTCAATTAATGTTTTTTGTAAACTGATAATGTAATCCAAATAACATCTAATTGGATACTCCTTAACATTGCAAACAATCCATTGTTTATTCGTACATTAATTGCTGTTTCACATGGTGACGATGTTAAAAAGTTGTGCTGTTGTTTCACAGCCAGAGGATCAGTCTCTGGTCGAGCGCTGGCAGCACCTTGCTGACCTGGCAGACTTCGCCTTGGCCATGAAAGTCACCCTTACCAACCTCAATAAACAGTCCTTCAACAACTTCATGCTCCGAATAGGTCAGTGTGTGTGTGTTTGCGTCTGTGTACGCCTGTATTGGTGCACATCTTTCAAGTTTTTAAATATATCCATGTTTTCAGGTCTGAATAAGGGGGGAGTGTTGGCGGGAGTGATAGGAGCTCGTAAACCTCACTATGACATCTGGGGCAACACGGTCAATGTGGCCAGCAGAATGGAATCTACTGGAGTGATGGGAAACATCCAGGTACAAACACAAAAGCAGACATACACACTTGAAAACATCCTGTTAATATTTTTGATTTACTGTTTTATACTGAAAAAGCTTTACCTGAGGATCTTAGACTATTAAATTCACTGTCCTTTTTAAAATAATCTCTAAACTCACTTGTTACTGTTGTCTTGATCTTGGTTTTTGTATCAATACAATATCTTATCTTATCTACAATTACACAACATTTGCTTTTATGTACTGTACAATGGATGTTGTATAATTTCTGATTTTGTCCATGTCTACCCTCAGGTGGTAGAGGACTGCTACGACATCCTTAAGAACTACAGCTTCCGTTTTATCCGAAGAGGGCCTATATTTGTCAAAGGGAAAGGGGAGCTGCTCACCTTCTTCATGAAAGGAAGAGACAACCCTAGTAAAAATGGCGGTCCAATGACCACTACCTTACCACACCAAGTTGGGGACCATTGAAAATTGTCCACTGTGTGAAAAGCTGTTAGGGATAAGCCTGAGCAGAAGGTGACTTACATAGATATTTTTCATAAGCTCTGTAGCAATGTAAAGCATATGAAAGTAGACCAACACAACACATAATATGCTATACAACTCACGATAAAACTGATTCTGTATAATTGTACATAATTGAGGAATTTAGTTGCAATTCTTACAGAATGAAAATTGTTATCCTTTTGTACTTGAATCATGGACTGCTATGAGAATTACAAGCTAGGAACAGACATATAAATTACTCTCCTTTGTTGTTTGCCTTGAGCTCAGGTTTTGTAAAAATATTGTAGCTTGATAACACTGTATTTATACTGTCAATAAATATGTTTGCACTACATCTTTGCGGTTCATTTCTGGATCTTGCAGTCTTTAGGGTTATTATTAGCAGGTAAACAAAGTAAAAATATCAGAAAGGATTTGAATTTAAATGTGCTGATCATTTCCAGAAGTCAAAAAAGGTAAATAAATCTTGTGTGATTAATATGTTCTAATTTAGTGCTAAAGTCTAATGTTTAGCCAAGATCAAAAACCCTTACCTACATTATATTTTAGTCTATTGGATGATATTAATTTAGGGATGCATGATTTATTGAGCTGTAGGCAGTTTGTTAGGAGAGAAAGAAATCCCACCTGTAGACAATATGGTAATTTTTAAATAGCGGATGAATTAAATCCAAGTCTCTGGAGACATTCAAATGAATTTTAAGTGATGTTTCATTGTTTTCAGTTACTTATTATGCTAACTAGGTTCTCATGCGCCACCCATGGATTATAATTCTACCCGGAAGCTTGGTAGTGTAGGAATTTCCGGTTACGTCAGAGCGTCAGCACTCCATTAGAGCTGCAGCTGTTTTGAGAGAAACAACAACAAAAACGGGCTAACTGACAGCGCTCCCACAGTGACAGTCCGCTCTGAGCCCGACAAAGAGGCCTCAAATCTGGAAGCTTAACCTTCATTTCCCACCCGGAGCTCCGCCGGCTTCTAACCACGGCCGCTCTCGGTGAGGAAACTCTGGCCTCCGCTTCCTCCTCCTCCGACTCGGACACCGGCGGAGCGTCGCCGCCCCCGCGGAAGAAGCACCGAGCCTCGGCGGCGGAGGGAGCAGGAGAGCCCGGGGCTTCAGCAGTTGTAACAGGCCTCTCCGGAATTGTCTTAGGACTTGCTACTCATTCTCCACACTCTCAAGCCACCTCAGCCATCCACTTTAACCGAAGTGTTGTCAACAACCTCAGCAGCAGTATGCAGTCAAACGGTGCAGGACAGGGACAGGAATCTACAGATCTCTCCTGCCTAAACAGCGCACAAAACGGGGAGTCATCGACGGCTGGTGGAACCCACTCCAATGGGCTCCTCTCCAGCACAGACAACGGGAATGGTGTCGGTACCAGTAATGGGTCTGCAACCGGGCCTGGTTCGGGGACTTCGGCGGCCCCTACGGCTTCGGGCTCGGAGGCCGGTTCTCTGAAAAAGAAAAAACGACTATCGCAAGCGGAGGAAGATGTCATCCGATTAATAGGGCAACATCTCCACGGACTAGGGCTGAAGTAAGTTTATTCAAAGTGGAGGAAAATAGAGCATCTACAGTTAGTGTTAGTGTTGAACATGTGAAGTTTAATCTACATAACGTGTGTTTCGAGTGAAACAACAGATGGTAAAAGCGCTGTTAGTGCGCTGACAGACACAAACATGGGGGGATGGGGCAGTTAGCCTGTGAGCTCGGCAGTTGGTAGAAAGAAGGGGTCCATCTTGCACAATAACAGTTAGCTTGGAAGCTAGCAGCATTAGCCTGCGCTTAGGTTGCTATGTCCTGACATTAAACCTTTACACAAAAATAAAACAAAGCTTGACATTTGTCTCCCCAACACATCCATCCATCGTTTAAGTAGTGTTGTATGTCATTTACACCATGATGCGTTTAATCGTTTTTGCACAAATGCATTACATCATCTAACGTTATTTAAAGATCTATGTTATGGTTTGTCAAGCATAATGTCATGCTAATGGATAACGTTGATTTAGCTTCTTTATTAAGTACACAAGCAGGATGATCGAGTTTGCAGTGTACGTGTTTGCGTTTTGATGCAAAGAAAATGCGGAGGAAATGTTAATGTGCGGTTTGTCAACGTCGGTTTTTGCCCCGATGGTGGTTTTCTTAATTTTCCAGCTCGGGAAAAACAATATGGTTCTTGCAAGACCGTGTGGGAGGATCATTAATAGGTCGGCCACACTGTTATAACTAGCATGGTTATGAAAACTGTCCTGGTTATTTTAGTAATTCACATGCATCGTTTGCACATCCTGGGCTGTCAAGTTGTTAAATTGATCATATTAATCGCCGTTTTGTGCAACTATCTCACGACCATCATAACTTCCTCTCTAGCTTCATGTATGTCTTTTTCTGTCGCTGTCACCGTGTTGGAGCATCGTGTCAAGAGTCTGTAACAAATACTGACGCGTGTGTTTTTATTTAAAGACAGCAGTCGATACCGTAGGCGACAGTTGGATCTGTATTGAGCAGAATCTGTTGGTTTCATGGCGGCTGAAGAATGCACTTTCTACCAGCTGTTTCACATGGAAACGCTGTGTTTGATCTAATTTTAGCACTATGGGGTTTTCAAGAAATGTAGCCCTCCTCTTCAATGTGGCATTAGTAGTCAGACATCCGCATATTTCTGGTATCCAGCTGAGAAAGTGTTTAAAAGGCCATTATAAAACACATCGCTATATTTACAAAGAGGCTGGGTCAGGGAGGGGGGGGACATGACATTGCCTGGAATGAAGAAGAGCCTCTACATTTCAATGCAAGATAAATCAGTGTAGCAGCCAGCTGGATGAGAGGCTCACCACAGAGCTGCTGCTGCGCCACTCCATTGATACCTGAGGATGATGTCATCATGCTGAAGGTGTCCACCAAACCCACTTTCATTATCTCTCTCACTCACATCTCGGCAGTCTTATTTGTGTTTTAGCACAGAGGTGGTGTTTGGACAGATGGTTATTCATGGTTGACTGAGAGGATGATGTCAACTGCAGTGGAGGCTCTGTTTATGTTAGCGAGCCCACTGTACACAAATAATCCTCATACCTGCAGGGGGCTGGCTTTCTCCAGACACTGTTGGCCATGACATTGCTTTCTTTCTATTGTCAGCTAATGACACTGTTGGAGTGTTAAATTGCTGATCTCCAAACTACTCGCCTATTTACTTTTGGTAAACATGGCTGAGTCACAGTGATGAAATGTCAAAGGTGATACAATAATCAAAATAAGTTGGGTGATCTGCCTAGAATTTGCACTTCATTTAATCATGAGCTTACTTTTTCACTAGACTGATGAGCTCCCATTTTTTTTTAAAGTCCAGAATTGCTCCTTAAATCCCCAAATCCTTATCTTGCCACTTAAATCTTAAGTTGAATTCGTCATTGTATTTTCATTTGAAAGCTACCCTCTCCTTTCTTTCATTCTACCTGTCTTGTGTCTATATTCCAGCCTAACTTTGTCTGCCCCCCCCCCTCTCTGTGTCTCTGCAGTCAGACAGTGGACCTGCTGATGCAGGAATCGGGCTGCAGACTGGAACACTCCTCAGCTACCAAGTTCCGCAACCACGTCATGGAGGGGGAGTGGGACAAGGTTGGTTTTGGGTTACTGTGGTTACATAATGGCACGCACATGAATAAACGGGATCGAGGAACTTCCTAGTGATCTGTTGTCTGTACTGAACTTCTTCTATTACATTTATTTGTGAAGATTGACTCATATGAATAGGCAAAAGCAAACATGATTCCTGTTTGGAAAGCATAAACAAAGTGGCCCCAGTTGTAGAAACTCGTACCATTTTTTTGATGAGTACCAATTCAACTATTTTCTTGACCAACAGATCTTACTGTTGAAGTGCCGTTTGTCACCTAAACTAGCAATTACAAAGCGCATAGCTTTCTTTACTCAAGTCTTGCATATAATTAATGTATTACGGGTCATGTATTATATTTGACAAAACATTTAATCGGCTACTTTCAATACTAATATTTAGCTCAGGGACAAATCTGACTTCTGGTGGTTACTCATCGGGTCTTGAATTATTATGTAACAGTACATAGTGGAATAAAACTGTTCATTATTTTAAAGCCTACTCTAGGAAACCATTTCTGTCATTTTTATAGCAACATAACAAGGCACATATCCCAATCTCTGCCCATTTTTTTAAATTAAAGATCACAATAATGGTTTATCAGAACACTATAATCATAGCCAGACATTATTGCAGCATGTTGTCAGGGCTCCATTAGGATGATCATTTAGATATCGCAAAATCATCAGGTTTATATTAGCACATTGTAAAACGTGTTAGCGCTATTGGCTCCTAAATCTACACTTGGCTTGATTACCCCTTTATCGCTGGAGATGACTCTCATTTCAACATATTAGAGCCTATTGAAGTACACGTCCTTGGCCTTGTGTGTCCTCTGGAATAATTACCCTAAGCCAGAACTGCAGGACTGAAAATTAACACCAGCGTTGAACCAAACGGTGGTTTATTTTTTGATTGTGGTGGAATTGGTTTGTACTCTCCAATAACAAATCATGGATCAGGGAAATCGTTTTTTGTGACGGGTGTTATATAATTTAGAATTTTATCACAGCATATAGACATCAGTCCGTTGGTGAAGTCGGTTTTCAATAATCTTGAACAAGGAAGTGAGCACAAGAACTGTATTACCGCTCATGTGTTTTTTTCCTGTTTGTTTTTTTCTGTGTATGCATGGAAACTGCTGAGCTAACCATTTCTCTCTCTGTCTCTCCCCTCCATCACCCTCCCTTTGTTTTGATCCAGGCTGAGAATGATCTCAATGAGCTGAGAGCACTGATGCATTCTCCCAATGCCATTGTGGTAAGCTCCCCTTCAACTGAACTGAATGACGGCCAGTCTGGAGGTTCTCGAATAGTTACCGTTATAATGCAGGGCCGCAGGGCCGCAGGTTCACTGAAAGCTCACACGTTCTGGATGACGCCTCGCAAAGTATAGCTGCAGTACGGACACCGCGTTACTATTAGGGTTTTCAAGCAAAACGCTGATTAAACCTAATAGAATCAAATAGGCCTATTATCTTTATTAATATATTATATGTATCTAGAGCTCTACTGATATAAGATAAAGTATATTAATAACAAAGAAATTAAAGCACAGAAAACATATGTTTCTCCTTTGTACACATTGTCCACTGAAGATAACTGACAAGTTCCTTTTTAAATGTTTAAATATCTTATTTAGTATATATCATTGTCACAATCAATTTTAATTAAACGTATAAATGGATACTTGAAAATCTTAATTTGTTATGTGTGTATTAAAGGTCCCATGTCATGGCCATTTCTACTGATCATAATTCCATTGTTGAGGTCTACTAGAATAGATTCACATTGTTCAATGTTCCAAAATCACATTGGTTTTCTCATACAGCATCTCTGTATAGTATGTGTATTCACTCTCTGTCCTACACGCCTTGTTGGAGCTCCTGCCCCCCCCCTCCCTATGAGACCACTGTGCTCTGATGTGTGTTTATGTGTTACAATGGCGTTTGTTAGCAACCAGAAAAGGACACCAGTAATGACAAACAGATGACAATGCTGCCTGGGGTCTGGGTGCCGTGTTGGCGGGACGTTGCGGGGCTCGCTGCTCCGCTCGAGGAGTGGACAGTGTGAGCTTGATTACTGGTGTCGTTTCCTGGTTGCTGCGTGGGGTCTGCGAGACAGCGAGACACCGCGGAACTCAGCCTGAGCACACACACTTGAGTGTGTGGCAAACTGTGAGTGGAGATCCACGGAGCCGCGGCTGAGAAAAGATAAGGCTGAGTGTGTGTGTGTGTGTGTGTGAGAGGAGCTCCACGGATTGGTCCATTTGGACCTGGGTATGGTCACGTCACTATACTCAGGAAGAAAACAATGGAAAAAGGAAAATCTCCAACGAGGCGTTCTGGGGCAGCATAGACAGGTCTTTTCTGTGTTAGAGTTTTACTCGCTACAGGGTGTACTTTGAGGGTTTGGGACTTTGCAGACCGTTTACATGCAGAAAAAGCTACATAACACACAAGGGGACGGGTTATAACCGGAAAAGCATGACATGGGACCTTTAAAATGATTACTATCAACAATTCCATTGTTATAAGAATTTTTAAACCACTTTTAATTTGGGTGTTACTGCAAGAGTATAACCATTGCTATATCCCAATTTGAGTATGTACTCCTTCCAAATTGAAAAATAATGTAATCTTAGGTGCACTAACTTCTCATAGATTAAAGTATGCCTGCCAATTTTGTATTATTTCTGAGTGTGGCATTAAGCTACAATTGTTGTCCCACAATGCATTGCATACCGAGGGAAAAAAGGAAACCCTAACCCAAACCCTAACTAACAATGGATGGTAAAAATATGGCCCAAACAAAATGTTTGAAAAAATAAACAGTTTTTAGAAGAAACAAACTGCAGATATCATAATAAGCAGTTTGGAAGGCTTCTATTATGTGCTGTTAAAACAACTTATTAATGCTCATGCATTGTGTATATTATACCAACTACCAAAATGTATACTGTATACTTTATTTCTAAAATGGTACACACTGCATCATATTAGTTGGAAATGGGACTTGGCTCTGGCTAATCAACCCCACGTAGCATGCTAATTAGCGGACAAGATACGCTTCAAAAACAGTCCTGTGTGTCTCAATCAAGAAGCTGCTGCTCTGTGTCAGGAGTCAGTTTAACTGCCTTCACCAGCTGGGTTATTGACCAAATGGCTGCAGCTGTTGATTTTCAGCTGTATAACATGGGTAGCCATTTTAGGTCTTGAGTTGTAGCAGGTTTTGTTGTCAGTGTCAACATTTCTTTTTTCTCTGCCGTTCTAGTTGCCAGTTTACTTATTTAGCAGGTCTACTTTAGGAGCTAGGAGATGTATGTGTGTGTTCTGTCACTCTTTATTTGTAGACGTTTTGTGGGCGAGTGTTTTTTATGTTATTGGGTGGTACATTTAACTGTACTTCAGCTCCTACTGGGGACCTGAGATAAGAGACTCTGTAAACACTTGTTAATGGTCTTCCATATAAAGGAAGAAGGCTATCGTCATAACCAGATTGACATTGGTTTCATGTGTAAATTATGTCTGCACAAAGCTATCACTATTTTGAGTTTTGTTCGCTACTCAAAGCTTTTTATGTCCTTCTGTAATTGTGGGTACTAGCTTCTATTGTTCTTATTATCACAGGAAAACCTAATACCATTGTATAAGATTAGTTATTTTCTTCCTTCCTTTGTATTTTTTATAAATGATCTTCTCTGTACTTATGTATCTCTTCCTCTCCTCAGCGCATGAAGTTCCTGCTGCTGCAACAGAAGTACCTAGAATATCTGGAGGATGGTAAAGTCCTGGAGGCTCTGCAGGTGCTCCGGGGAGAGCTGACGCCCCTGAAGTACAACACAGATCGCATCCACGTACTTAGCGGGTACGAAGTTTGATTCTGTGTCATAACAGTCATCCGAGTTCAACCAGTCTACCAGACACATCTACAAACTCAGTAACAGTTCAAACCAGTCAAATTCACCATCAAATTGATACGTTGATTGGGTATTTATCTTCTACAGTCAGGGAAAGTGTCATTATTGATAATAGTCATGTGGTCTTTAAGAACTAGCTTCAGTATTTACCCCAGCTCTTGTTTTTGTCCTAACTGTGCTTATGGAGATTGCTTACCCAGCATGTTCAAATCAATGGCTTGTCTCAATATTTATCCATGATCTTTAGTTAATAATTGTACCCTCCTCTGGCATACACTCTAAAGGTGTCAGTAGCTGAAGGATCCTCTAATCCCTGGTCGGATCCATACGCGGTGCCCAAACACATTCCTGTGATCCATTACCTAATCAATTAGTGTGTATTGATCACCCTTACACTGCCGACAAGCCTGTTTGTGGTAACAGACTGTCACTCAGTGTAATCTATTGATCCGTCAGCTGTCTTAGCCTGATCAATCAGCTGTGTCAGAATGTGTCCTTGACTCTGGCCCCGGCTCCACGGAAACGCATACGGCAAAACGCATCGGAGTAACGCAAACGCAACCGCAAAAAACCTTCCGCCCACACGCAATATACACCGGATTGTGTCAAGCTCCACGAGACGGCTCCGTTTACATCCAACCGCTGGAAAAGCTGCAGTACATATGCCGAACCTGTACGTGGCGCTGTAACTTCCTCCACAAAAGCAGCAACTTCCTCCACAAAAGCAGCGAAGAAGAATGGTTGTCATGGCTGCACTTCTGTTTATTCTCCACGGTGGGGGCTGACGGAACCGGGCAGAGTTTTTCGCCGGTCAGCGTGTGTTAAAGTTTAAATCTTCCGGACAAAATTATAAAAGTGCCGGTCAAAGGTCTTCATTGTTATTTATTGAGCTTTAAAACAAATGAATAACGACGATATAATGATATATAATCATCAAATACACGGAGCCTGTCTCTTTTTCCTCTCTTCTGACAGCGTCAGTGTCTGTCTCATGCAGCAGCTGATCCTGTAATGAGTGACCCGACAGTCAAAATAAACATATTTATAACTAGTTTAGGTAGTTTGAGAGGTAATTAAAATAGCTAAGGGTGATGATCTGACTTGAAGTGTGTGTTTTGCTCCCGCTGCATCACAGCGGGAGGAGCTGCGTGTCTCCGTCCTGTCAGATTAGACTTCACTCGCGTTTATGTCCATATCGAGATAAAGATAAATAATCTGAATTCAGTGTGCAGTGTACTTTTGCGGGGGTGAGCAGCAGAGGCGGGGAGAGGCGGGGCTATTGCGTCGTCATTATCAGAAACGGATGACCGTATAGGCGACCACACGGCCCCGTTGGACCCCCCAGAGCGCTCCGTTCCCAGATCTATCCACCTTTGGACCCGTTGTCGTTTGCAGGGTCTGTTTCTACGTTTCCGTTACGGCGTCGTCGAGCTTAAAGGGCTATACGCATGAGAAATATGCGGATTCAACCCGTTTTCGTTCCCGTGGAGCCTAGGCCTCAGTCTTTGCATTTTCTGAGAGCTAGTTCCTAAAACAAAAACTGCCTTTCACACGTCTAGAACTTTCATTCAATGTTTGTTTTTGTTTGTATTCAGTCTGTTCGTGATGTAGTACTTCATTAGTAGCCACATTTTCACTGCATACTATGGTTTGGCACGGCTCAACTAGCTTGGAGAGGTTCTTTTTTGTTTCCAATCGGCTAAAGTTTTTAACAGTACCTGAAACTTTTTTTGTTTTACCTCGGTCGAGTGAGAAGGTGAAGTAATAACACTGCAGACCACTGATTGGTCATAGAGAATTGACACAAACCAGACATTATTTAACAGCCAAGCTACTGTCAATAGCAGCCATACATTTATTTATTTATTATTATTCACACGTTGTGGTGTGTTTTACTAAAGTGCAGAAGTTTTTTTCTGTTTAATTACAGATGAAAGTCTCAATGAAGGAACACACCACTTGTTTCGCGTGCCATCACTATGAACATTTAGCTAAGAGTATCCCTACCTTAAGAGGGTAATATCTGCAGTGGAAAAATAAATCAAGAAAAGTACCTACAAAAAGAGTCAAGCTGGGTGCTAGCATGCAATGTAAATGTGGCATTTTTCCCTCCTTATATGAATAGTTTAATACTAGTTTGTGTTCTTGCTCTTATCAAAATGTAACTTGTTTTGTTGTGATGGTCATTTCATTGTTTGTGTTTTATTTCTGAGCGGTGTGCTTGTGTCCTCCTGCAGGTACCTAATGTGCAGCCATGCTGAGGACCTGAAGGCTAAGGCAGAGTGGGAGGGCAAGGGCACCGCCTCACGCTGCCGACTGCTGGACAAACTACAGAGTGAGGAGACATTTGTCGACCCTAGAGCTCACACACATATTCCTGACTTCATTGCCACTATATACATAACCCATGTGTCTTCCTTTATCTCTCTTTGTAGCGTACCTGCCACCTTCTGTGATGCTGCCCCCTCGGAGGATGCAGACGCTGCTGCGGCAAGCTGTGGAGCTGCAGAGGGACCGCTGCCTCTATCACAACACCAAGCTGGACAGCAGTCTGGACTCGGTCTCTCTCCTCCTCGATCATGTCTGCAGCAGGTCTGTACTGCATAGCCCTCACTGGTAAATTATCATACTGCAGCATCTTATATTTATGTATCAGTTGACCTCCTGTAGAGGCATAAGCACTGAAACGCTTGCTTTGTGTTTGTCTTCTGTGTCTGAAGTCTTATTCCTTTTATGTCCAGCATCTGTTTATGGCTGCACTGCTTTTCTTCTATTCTTATCATTGCTGTGCATTTAATGACTTGAGATATAAGCTGATGGAAGCTGCTGTTTCAGACTCACACAATGAAGATTTTCTCTCCGTAACACAGGAAGCAGTTCCCCTGTTACACCCAACAGATTCTCACAGAGCACTGTAACGAGGTGTGGTTCTGCAAATTCTCAAATGACGGCACCAAACTAGCCACTGGCTCCAAAGACACTACGGTCATAATTTGGCAAGTGGACCCGGTAAGTGCAATAAATAACTTCTAAAAATACACATGCTGCTTTTATTTTCTATGACCTTGTCCACAGCTAAAATAACCCTGCAGGAATAGTGTGGTCAGGGCATTTGCAGGCACGTTTCTTTTGGCATTGCCAAGAACTTTTATAACAGTCATGTACTTTTTAAGAATTTAGTATGACATTTTATTCAAATAAACACAAGTTTGAAACTGTTTTAATTTCCATCTTAGATTAGAAGATATTATTTATAGAAGTTATTACTCTTAGGCCTTTAAAGGAAGTCTGTTATTTTCTTGGATTTATTAATAGTTTAATTGCATCCTTAACCTTAGTTGGTTTTCTCTTTTTGTAAGGAACACCGGTGTCTGTTTTTATAAAAGTAGGAGTCCGTTTATCTCATATCTACCAGATAACAACCACCATTTTGGGACAAATTGCGTCCATTTCACAGAAGTGGCTTCTCCTCCAGGGTCTTTTAATGTTTGTTGGAAACCTTTTCAAATATTTGTTTGAATTTAGTCTACATTTAAAATGGAAAGAGGAACTAATTGTCACACAGATTTGACTCAGTTATATACTTTTGGAGCCGTCCCAAATCGTTTTAATTTCATGGAACTTCATGCACTATGACTTTGGTGTATAAATGTGCAACCCTAGCCGCACCACAAACAATAATTAATTTCACCGTTAACCTCTTGTTCTTGTCTCTGTGTAGGAGACCCACCAGTTAAAGCTGCTGCGGACCCTTGAGGGTCACGCGTACGGCGTCTCCTACTTAGCCTGGAGTCCGGACGACATGTACCTGATCGCCTGTGGACCTGACGACTGCTCCGAGCTGTGGCTCTGGAACGTTCAGGTAACATTTCCCCTTCGTTTTACTCCCCACAGTGCATAATCCTATACTTGTGATACCTCTTAACCAACCGTGTTTCCCTGCGCCAGCTCCGGCCATTTTTCAGTGCACTAAAGCATGGATGTCAAAGGCTTGAGCGGTCTAATTTAAATTCAGTAAACAAGCGGAACAGAAGAACAGGCCTTAAGCCTCCCATAGATACTCTGTAGGCTGTGTGTACTCAATGACCTTCCCCTCCCCTTTACTTTGCTTTCATCCACCCCTCCCCCGCTCCTACTTAATGTTTTTTCTTGCCGTCTCCCTTCCCCCCCCATATTTCTCTCCTCTTCTGTTTTTCCCACTATCTCTGACAATCCCCTCGATGAGCAGACGGGGGAGCTGCGGACCAAAATGTCCCAGTCCCATGAAGACAGTCTGACCAGTGTGGCGTGGAACCCCGACGGCAAGCGCTTCGTCACCGGAGGGCAGAGGGGGCAGTTTTATCAGTGTGTAAGTGACTGACTTGTTTACCTGAACAGTATTGCTTTGATGTGTTTGGAACAGTAAATCTGCTCCTATGTTATCTGTCTGTTTTCCTTTTAAGAATTAGATAGATGCACTTTTTTATTATTATCACAAATTGAGATATTATGAAGTAAGACCAAACTGTAAATATACAGTATACACATCAACAGTAAACATATTTATTTCTATAGAGTTCTATAGAAAAAAAACTATATAAAATATAAAGAGTTATGGATCCTCTCTGTATTTAATCAATGCAGGAAGCAGGTGAGGGCGTCAAAAAAAGGGCTAGTCACTGTATGTGAGTCTTACATATTTATATATATATTGCTGCTCAAGTGTTGTTCTGACCTTAAGCAGACCACTTCAAGATAATTAGATATTTCTGTGTATTGATTTTTCTAGCCATGAACCTGATGAACCTATAAAGTTCTTTATTTTCTATCATATTTTGTTGCCTGTGTGTTGTGCATGACCAGAGGCCTGTACTACGAAGCCGGATTTTCGCTTAGCCGGCTGACTTCAGGGAAAACTCGGGCTTTCCGGTCCTACGACGCCGGTTCTCTTTTTAGCGGGCTAGATCTCCATGGTAACTTATGCTGAGCGGCTAACCTCCTCGGGAGGAGGTTAGGTTGCAGGCTAAGAGATCAACTCAGTGAAAGCACCGCCTGCTGACCAATCAGAGCTCCGTGTGCGGAGTTTAAAGCTATCAAGTCATATTACAGGATAGAGGAAATACAGAAAAACTGCCGTTGCAGGAAAGACGGCTGGCAAAAATCAACTGACTGTGTGAATGTGATAATTAATAGAATATCCCCTCCCATCTTCAGAGCAATCTGACTATTATAATATTAGCGTTAAGAAAGCTTACTTAAATATCTGCCACGACATAAGTAACCGGATCAGAGTAGCATTAAGTACAGTCCGCGGCACTGTGAGTGCAAACGTCGATGTGTCCCATTATCATTCATATCATATCACATCATAATGTATCATATATTTCCTTATCCGAGTCAGCTTCTTGAGCCGTATCTGGCCGTGCAACACTCACAGTGTCACATACTGTATGCAGAAGTATTATTTTAAGCAACACATTAAGTTGACGAAACACTCGAGTCAAATTCTCCTAATTAAAGTCAGATCCACTCGTGTCTTGGACGGGGCAGTGATTTCATAAACCTGTTAATGTACGCATTCAAACGCTTTTTCTTTTACCAGCTGTATTCACCTTGCAGGTGCAGCTATGTGGCTTTTATCCTGGATAAAGTGTTTAAGTCATGGATGTTTAAAGTTTAACTTCTTCATATTTGACTAATATTAAAGTTCACTTTTCATTCAGGAAGTATGACGCTGCGCTGTCAGTACGCTTGTCCATGTTTGTGATTGGTCGAATGCTCCAAATACCACCCCTTTCATGTGAACGCGCACCTAACTAGATAGGACACGGCTGGCTTGAGCGATCCACTTGATAACCAGCGTCGTAGTACAGCTTAGCCAGAGCGCGTATGTTTTGGATTGGGCCAACCGGCTAACTCAAACATATCCAGGTTAGGGAAATCCGGCTTCGTAGTACAGGCCTCTGGTCTATGTGTAGTTAATAAAGTCTGTCAATATCAGTAAGCTTGAAATGAACATTTGGACCTGTTCCACCCTCATTTAAGAAGCTGCCAAACTGCGAAAAGCAATAAGATCATCTACCAGATTAAATAGGGAGGCCATACTGTGTCCGTGTCTTCATCTCCCTGTTGAGAATGAGTTTTGAGGTCGGTGCTTTCTGTTTTCAGGACCTGGACGGTAACTTGCTGGACTCCTGGGAGGGTGTCAGAGTGCAGTGCTTGTGGTGCCTGGGCGACGGCAGAGCAGTGCTGGCCTCCGACACACACCAACGTATCCGGGGGTACAACTTCGAGGACCTTACAGACAGAAACATGTATGTGGCAGCCCTTCTATTTCCTTTTCTGTGGTATATCTATATGGTCGAAAATACAACATTTTGCTAATGAATGCTAGCCAATAGAGGTAAGGCAAAAATTAAGGTTTTTCTTTAAATACAAAAAATGGATGTCATCGTTCAAACTACTGACAAGAAACTATCCCAAAAACACATTTAGGTGCTTATTTGACTTCTCTTTGTCTATTTGTGTCTGTATATTTCTCCAAAGAACACCAAAAGCTAGATCATGTCTCAATTGCACATTTAAACATAGCATTTCAGAAAACTTCTATTACATCCCAGTATTTATATTAATAATAATATGATTTATATTTATTTTAAGGTAAGAAACCAGCTCTGGACATTTCTTGGTGATTCTTATTAGTGTTTATCCTATTACTCTGTAGTGTCTTTCAAAATGTATGTAATTCTATTCTGAGGGTTTTTACAGATGTGTTTGTTATGGCTGTTGACAGTATGTTCTGATAAGAGATATTCAAATGTCCCAAATGTGCAAATATTAAACCCATTGAAATAAAATATGTCAACAAAAAGTTTATACAAATTGGCACAGATTCAATAAGATAATACTTCTTTATGTAAGAAATCAACTGGGGAAGTTTCCTGATGATATGTATTGGTTACATATTAATTTACCGTATTCATCTTTAGTGTCTCCTTCATTGTCCTACACATTTAGTATACTTCCATTATTTAATAAGATGTCTGACTGCTTGTGCCTTGTTTACATGTCCTTCACAGAGTCCAGGAGGACCACCCTATCATGTCTTTTACTGTTTCAAAGAACGGAAGATTAGCTTTGTTAAATGTAGCAACTCAGGTAAGCTTTCTGACCAACTCTGCCATCACTAATATCTGTTTATTCGCTACTAAAGCGCACTTTTCTGGAAAACACTACGCAAGACGTTTCAGCGCTTAAAGGCTATTCTTTCTTCGACAACGTTTTCATAGGGAGTGCACCTGTGGGACCTTCAGGACCGGGTGCTGGTGAGAAAATACCAAGGTGTGACCCAGGGCTTCTACACTATCCACTCCTGCTTTGGAGGACACAACGAAGACTTCATTGCCAGTGGCAGCGAAGGTAGAGTCACAGTAATAACACCATAACTGTTGATTTGTAGACTATATTACCATATTTTCCTTCTGTGGACTTTTGAGGAGTCAAGAATCTTGCTTCCTCTGTAACATTATCCATGTGTTCTCACTATCTCCACTGCCACTGGTTTTATTTCCATTAAATCTCTTCTCCACAGACCACAAAGTGTACATCTGGCACCGACGAGGTGAACTTCCCATCGCTGAGCTAACAGGTCACACGCGCACCGTTAACTGTGTGAGCTGGAACCCGGTCATCCCGGGACTCTTGGCGTCCGCCTCTGATGACGGCACAGTGCGCGTCTGGGGCCCTGCGCCCTTCCTCGACTCACAAGAGGCGGACGGGCTCAACGGTAAATGCCAAATCTGGTTTCCCCATAGTGCATGGGACTATTCACTTAAACACCCAAACTTGAGTCAGGAGAGATTTTGCACTTTCTGTTGTGTTGGATATTCTGGAATTCACAACTTTTTATATGTCTTTATTTACCCAATCTCTTTTCCTTTCTTCTCAGAAAACTGCAGTAACATGGACAGTTGATGGTCACTTACGGAGCAGATGACGTCTCTCTCTGATCACAATCCAAGAACCCAACAATAAAACGAAATCGGGCAAATCAAATCCAACACCAAACTGAAGAAAGACGAGAATAACAAACAAGAAAAAAACACCCAAGAGAAAAAAAAGGAAAACAGAAGCGAGAAAAATGTGTCTCCTGACTGGCCGTTGTCTCCCAAAAACGGTGGAGGTGATGACGGACAATTTCAGGTCCTCATCCAAAAACCTGACCCAGAGGAAAACCAGCGGGGATACGGCAGCCATCCACTGGTGATCTGTAACGGCTGTTCCTCCTTCAAAAGTTCCTTCCCCCCCCCCCCCCGCCCCAAATCTCGACTCATGGTCCCTGGACATGACGGGCCCTCGCAGTGTTTTCCAGTAAACCCACCTCCACCTGGAGCTCGGAGCACATCAAGTCCCCATGATGCGTCCAGACAGACACCGCAGACCAGCCGTCTATCATTGGACTACATCTGCCTGTTTGTCTCTCACATTACCTGTATAATGTCTCCATCGATATGGGTGGGGTGTTTTTGGGGGGAAGATCCTGCATAAGGGGGGATATAGCAACTCTTCTGTATGTCTGTTTTCCAATCCCCCTACGCTCTTGCTATATTCTTCGCATTCGACTCGTTGGACAAAGGCTGAAAAATCCACCGTAAGAAAAACACTCGACCAGCTGACAAAAGAACACACACAAAAAAAAGGCTATGCTAAAAGTCGGAGTTTTTTTATGATAGTCATAGCGTAATTCTCATTTAAAGAGGTGAATCTTAGCTCAAGTAGTGCCCGTGGAAAGCTCCAGCGTGAGATTCCACTTTGTGTTTCTGGACATTAGGAAAACAAACTTTTTATTCCTTAATTTAACTTCTAACAAGAACAGTCCACCCCCCCCCCCCAATCCCCAATCCCCTTCTGTTGAGCTAGCTACCGCACCACCATGTTACATCTGCCCAAGAGGAGATGGACGAAGGGATCCACAGGTCACATATCACCGCTGAGGTGGTGTTCCCACCTTCGGGACACATACTACCCCCTTTTTCTCCCAAGACACGCTTTCACATGTGGAATTCGGATTGCACGTTGGTGACTGCTGTCCCTCCTCGGTTTGTGTGTGTGAGAGTGAGTGAAGGCGATTATGCATGCACACATTAGTGTGAGACTTGACACTTGTGGGTGCAGGTTGTAGTTGCCGCGTTATTTTTTATTTTTTTGTATGCTTGTTCAATTCACACCAGCAGAGAATTCTAACCCCCCCTCCCCTATGCTCCTAATCCCATAGTAAAATTGTAAAGAGGATTTTAAAATTCTAAGTTATCCAAAGCCCCATAGGGACCTCTATCTGTGGAACAAAGAATACTTGAGAGCCATTTTGTAAAAAAGAAAAAAACGCTTTTCTTTAATGCGGGGCTTTAATTTTTTACTTTAGAATTTGTTTTTCTCCTTACCACGAAAGGCAATCGGTTAGTGGCAATCGACTCTGCGGTGAAAAAAGGTCATTTAAATAGTGAGACGTGTTTAAAAAAAAAAAGCTGTAAATCTGTCATGTTATTTGCAATGGGTCATTTCCTAGGAGAAGTTAATTATTATTGGACGAGTAGTTAGAATGGCTTTAGAGAGAAGAGGCACCATGCAGAACCACTCTCTGAGCCCACATTGGAGAGTGCTGTAATCCTAATTTATCACACACACAGACACACACTCACACACAACTGCCTTCCTGTTCATACAGTTGCACACAGACCTTCAGTATGTATGAAACCCCCCCACCCCCCTGCACATTGAGTGGTCTTTTTTGCTCTACTGCAATGGCATAAATCCATAAGCTTCTCATAGCCTTATGGTCAACACACTTCGTTCCGATGGTTTAAAAGGTCGCATTGGCAAAGACTCAAAGCCTAACTGGAGATTGCTAAAGGATTTGAACCCTCACTACGCCTCTATGCACCCAAAAGCAGTGACTGATCATCTTATAGACGTTATAAAAAGGAAACCTCGCACATGTAAGGCATAGAGCATGGAGTTTAAGAGAGAATTCAGCATTAACACCCCCTCCCTTTTGTTGCTCTCCAGCCAAGTTATTCAGTGGTCAGTGCACCATTCAAAGCTTTCTTCCTCCCTTTTTTCAGGGTTTGTAATAACTATTTGCTACAGACTGATATACAGTAAAACATGTTTAAAATCAGTGCTTTTCTGTCTGTTTTTATTGAACTTTTTTGTTACTTAAATTCTTTGTTCACATTATATCATTTTTTTTTTTTTTTTTGGTTGACCTCTATCCCTGTATGATCATATTAAAATATAACCAGACATTTGGAGTCCTCATTTATTTTGTGGTCTTCATAACCCCCCCTCCGTTATCTTTCTTTTATAATCTATGTTTTGTTTGTTCCTTTGTGTTCAGTTGCATTTATCCACCACTATTCTTACAAATGAATATGCACAGTAACACCCATGCCAGCTTTAGTGGGAAGAGTTTTTATTAGAAAGTGTGTTACCTACAATCAAATCAGGTTCAAACTTATCCACACCTCGCCTTTAAAGAGTTTCCTTCATGTGAAGTTCTAATTCATCGCATGTCTGTGTATTTGAGCGGAATATCTCTCTTGGTGTGCCATTTTTGATGGATCTGACCCTCATTAAAGCCAAATCACTCGAGGCACGCTGGTGTTTTTTTGTAGGTTTATGTGTGTCATGGTCTGAAATTCACACTTCCATCTTTATTTCCTGGATTGCAGAATGGACTCCTTCCATACCCGACATTATTTCAGAAGACTTGAAGCAAAACGCGCACACTAAACCCCAACAAGAGTTTCCGTAAAGCCCATCATTCACATGCTATGTCTGTATGCAACCTGGTGTCTACTCTTCTTTTGTCTGAGTTTACAGAAAAAAGTTGTTTCTGATTTAACTATGTCTTATTTCAGGTGGTGGGGAGGGGCCGGGTGGGGGACACTAAGGGCTTACTGTAGCATCTCTAAGTTCCTTAGAGGAAATGGGCGATGTGTGGCTTTGCGTTCAATGTGTTATTTACAAAAGTGATTGTACTGTTTTGTATTGTTGTGTAGGAAAAGTGTTATGTATGCATATTTTCAATAAAGCATTCAGGGTTTTGAAAAAAAGGCCCATGGAAGTTTGATGGGGCAGGAAATTGTGAAGGCCCCAAGAACAAAGTTTCAGACATGCAGAAAACCATCTCTCACACCCCTTAAATACAGAAATCATGAATCAATGCTTTTGTCAAAGCATGTGTCCAAGGCTCTCTGAAGAAAAATTGGATTTCATTTCTGTTAAAATTCTACTTTGTATTCAGTCATTTATTTCTAAATGTCTTGAAAGCATTTTCTGGAGCCAGCAAATCTGGTAAGATAGGAATAACAAGAACATTTGCCAATAAAGTGACGTTATTTTGAGTAAGTCTTGTTGTTGGCCATGCATTACTACACAAAACATTAACTTTAGGAAGAAGTGGCAAAGGGCATGGGTGCTAGCAAGGGGTCACCAGTGACATTGTGCCACCTTGTGGTCAAAGTAAAAACAAAAATATACTTACATACAAAACATTCTTAGGCATATAGTAAACTTACTGGAAATAAGAGACAATAATAGTTATATAATGAATGGATAAATAAAGGAATTGAACCCTGAACTAATAAAGCCAAAAAGGAAGACAAAAGTATTTTGCTGTTACTTAAAAGTACAAAGGTGTTGGCATCGAAATGTACTTAAAGTATCTAAAGTAAAAGTACCATTATGCAAAATGGTGTATTCAAATTGGATTCGATAACAGCACTTTCTTTGAGAATAAATATAAAAATAAATAAAATATTTATTCAAACAGAGAAGTTAAAGTCAAAATGTGCACAATACACGGCAATAGGCCTATAGTCTACCAACAATACATATTTTAAAAAGATGTGCATTTCAATACATATAGTGGACATAATTGTTTTACTAACTTCAACTATTTTATATTCTGCTGCTATTCCCTTAACCTATGATTATACATTTGTATAAGAGGATAATTTGACTCTTTAAAGACAAACTAGTAGCTAAAGCTGTGTTGTTGTAGACTCAGTAAAAATTACAATATTGTTTTTTTAAATGTAGAGGAGTAGAAGAATAAGGAAGCATAACATGAACATATTCAGCTTAGTATAAATACTTAAGTGCAATACTTGATTAAATGTACTTAGTTTTACATTCCATTTGATGTTGCTAATACATACAGTATGATAGAAACCCTGCTAACATGCTAACATGGGTTTGTTTTGCTACCTCTGAGTGGGAGGAGCGTACGGCTGACGTCACTCTGACCCGCCCTCTCCGCTGTCTCCCTTCGCCTCCCCGTCTAGTCCAGTGTCTCAAAGCCGAGAACGGAGCACCACCGAGGGGGTCTAGCTGGCTGTCAACCGAGCTCCTACGGCAGTCATGGCGGCGCCGTTAGCCCACTTCGATGAGGACTGGCAGGATTTCAATGAGTTCAAGCCGGCCTCAGCGTCCGCCGAGCAGCTGGACCAGCTGAACTCCAACGTGGGCGAGCCGTCGGGCCTAGACGATTTCTCAGACCTGGACAACAGTTTCTCCGGGGAGATCTGCAGCTTCAAATCGATGGAGGACCTGGTCCAAGACTTCGACGAGAAGCTGACAGTGTGTTTCCGAAACTACAACACAGCGACGGAAAACATAGCGCCCATTAAACCCATCACAGAGGATAACTACCTGAAAGACGACGAGTGAGTGTTTGTTTTATGTGGGGTTTAATATTTACGTTAACTTTTAATCTCTAGCTAGCCATGTTAGCATCGGCAGGCTCACATAGCGTTGATGGGACTCCTGTTAGCTTAGCTGCAATCAGTGCCGTCCAAAGTTTGGTCAACGACCTAGAGCTTGTTTTCGATGCGATAATATACTTTTCTGACGTGTCATACTAACTAAGACAGTTGCTTTTAAGTTGAAATCCACAACTGGAGAAGCAGCAATAGGGTACAAATGGCAAATGTATTAAGGTATTTTAACTGATCGGTCATTTAGGGGATGTCCTGCCACGTTACCAGCAATTGATTTGATGCTAGATAGGTTCATATTAACTATAAACCTGGTCAACAAAGCATATATTAAGTGAATTGCTTTTGTCACCCGCTCACTGTTTATCATGTAATACAATCACCTTGATCATATGAAACAAATACTTTAGACTTGAGTTTCAGGACCCCCTCCCCTCCATTTCTCTTACTGCAAACAATGTGTCATGTTATTTCATACATGTATTTGTTACTGTCTGAGAGGTTCCACTGTCAGCAGCAGCCCTTGTTATCTCAGTATGAAGTCCTCAGCAGGAGTTAGATTTCATAGATGCTCAAATGTCACAACTACACACTCACAATGACAACATGTTATTACTTCCCAGCAGCTAGTCACACCAATCCCACACCAGCAGGGCTGCACTGTGACTACAGAACTGTGTGGGCTGCACAGATCTCCCTCTATTCTGCCTTCTTCTGCATATTATATTGCAACATTCTCATACAGTTATTTCACATAATGTATTTTCCTACTAAAAGGGAAGTCATGCATGCAAATGGCTGTTCAAATGTGACACGAATACAGGATATTTCTCAACTACAATTTGAATATCAAGTTTGGGACTCTATCACCGTAGACAGAAAAATGACTACCATCATTTAGTGAGAACTTTGCTTACATGTCCTTTAAATTAACTGGGATGAAAAGCAGTGTAAGATTTTGACAACATAATGATGGCAGAAGCCAACTTATTATCACGTAATCATATAAAAGTAACAGTTTTGATCTGTTGTGTTTTTTTGGAATATTAAGTGATAGAAAATGCATATATTTTGATAATCGATTCATTATTTCAGTCATTTATCTAGCAGAAATTACACATATTTTCTTTTGAATATCTATGGATCTGCTTTGTTAATATTCACACCAAGGGGGGAATGTTTCACTATTTTTAGTACTAATGAATATTATAACCCCCTGATTATTTTTTATAATTGGTCTTTTAAATCAGCCTTGGTGACATCATCCGGTTGCTTGTTTTGTTTTTTAAACAACTCCTTGGCTTGACAAAGAAAGCAGCATGTCATTCATACATTTGAGTTATTTTTGCTTGAAAAGTAATCTTAAAAATCATATCTATTATCAAAAGTGTTTTCTGGTCAATCAAGTAATCCTTTGATGTATCATGTAAGTGATTTCAAAGCTTGTAATAGAGAAATATATAGCCTGTTGTGTAACAGATATCAGCGGGTCACTCAACGAACACTGGCTTTTTCCTTAGGACATTTTGAAACTTAACTGCAACTTTGCCAAACATATTATGCACCGTAACATAAATACAGTAGTGGAGAGCTTCTCTCAGCAAAGGGCTGTGTCAGTCTCGCTTTAAATGTTTAGGGGGATGAAGGAGTGCTGGACGGACAAAGGAAGAAAGAAGCATCGAGGCAGGCTGTTGTTGCTAGAGAGACAGAGGAAGGAAAGGGACTACAATAATTGGACAGGAGCCCGGTGAAGCCCAAAGAGCAGCGCCAAGCTCTGCGAGAGTCTTTTCTGGATCACTGCACTTTTTCAGGACGTGCCCAGGCGCTTAATAAGTGTTCCAGAAAGACTGAGGAAGAGACGAGCAACAGAGATGACAAGGAGGAAATGTGTGTGGGTTTGAGAGACAGTTGTGTTTGTATTTCAAAGCCAAGTCGTGCATGTGGAGTGTCTGAGATAACACAGCATCCACACAAGTATATCCGAGCAAGTAATTCAAACAAATTGGCAGCATTGAAGTAGAGACATGAAAATGGAGAATGACCTTGTTTCTGGATGTAAACGCTCTCAGTGAAAGGGAAGCTTATCGTGTATTTGGCCGACACAGTGTCATCGCTTGAGGTACAAAAAACATTTCCTGCCAGCCTTTGCCCTATTTAGAATCACCCCCCCACTCCCCAAGCTGTGCAGGAACACTTCAGGGGGAAACATGCGAGTTATGTAAATACTATGATGATGCAAAGCCACTGTGACACATCGGATCACAGCATCCATCCTCATTCTGCTCGTAGCAGTCGGGGCCAGCGATAAAACTGAGTATGGGGGCTTTTCATTTCTATACAACTTTATTTTTTCTGTCAGAGAAGTTGAAAACATGCACAATGTCACAATTGTTAGGTTTGTTTCTAAAGGAGACCACATGAAGGGGCAGATTTATTTAATAAAGCTTTATTTATATGGCACTTTTCATACAGGCAGATCAAATAGCTACACAAAATCGCAAATTAAAACAAACAACATGAAATTCCCCTCAGATCAGATGTTAAGACCTTTTTGAAAACATGCAGCATAGCAACATAAAATAGTATTTTAACAGGGTTAAGACACAAGGATGTAAAATGTATTATAATAAAAACAATAAAATAGATCATGATTCCTCATTGAAATGAATCGATACGACAAAATATAAAAACCTATGAAACAGATCAAATAAACATATTATATACACAATAAAATGTAAATGTAATGATATTTATAATAGAGGTTAAATGATTAAACCATTAAGAGACCAACTTAAAAAGATAGTTCTCTAATACAACTGTTATACAAGATAAGTAAAAACCTTTAAAATGAATAAAACAATATCAAATTAAGTAAATAATAAAGAATAGAAGACCATTTAAAAGTGGGGTGTTGGTAATAATAAGCTAATTTAAAAAGACGTGTCATTTAATAATGTCCACGAGGACATAAAACGAGAGTGACTCGGTGAGATATGTGGGTGCCAAACCATTATGGCTTTTATTAACCAGTAAAATAATTAAAAAATCTATTCTGAAAGAAACTGGGAGCCAATGTAGTGCAGCTAAAACAGGATTAAGCCTTTATTCAACTGCCCTTTTAAGGTAGACTCCCAAGAAATCCTGAAGAAATAAGAATGATCAGGACACTTTGTCAGAAGCCAAAGGTTACTGAGCACATGTCGGGTTAAATGTGTCGAACTTAACATCAACTGGATGATTTTCCTTTCATTTTTGATCGCTTAAATCTGGTAAGCAGTATTTATTTTAAGAAAGATGAAGGATCAACAGTAAACATGTTTGTTGTACACTCTCGGCGCCACCATCTGCTC